GGTTACAAAAAAAGAGAGGACATGAAGGTGGAAAGGGAACATGTTGGAGGTGTCTACAGAAGTTTGGGATAGGCAGGATCAAGATATATTGAATATATGTATAAAACTGTCAAACTTTTTTTTTTTTTTTTAAGTAAAATGGTTACTGGAGCTGGAGAGATAGGACTCTTGGATGCTCTTGCAGAGGGCCTGGTTCATTTCCCAGTATCTAGATGGTGGCTAACAACCATCCTTAACTCCAGTTCCAGGAGATCATTCAGCACCCTCTTCTAATCTCTGCAGGTACTGCATACACATGGTATACTTACATATATGCAGACAAAACACTCATACACGTTAAATAAATAAATAGGTAAAAAGGTACTATCACATAAACTTACCTAAGCAGATTGGGGCTATCTGAGCATATGGACATATTAAAACCATATCAGAGAGTCAGCGAGATGGCTCATGAGGTAAAGGCACTTTCCATCAATCCTGACCACCTGAGTTCAATCCCATAGTTAGGCCCACATGGTGCGAAGGAGAGAACCTACACCTACAAGTTGTCCTCTGACTACGTGAGTACCACGGCATGTATATGCCCATATACACACACAGTCAATAAATGTAATAAAAATTTTAATATGAGAAAAAAACAGTCCAAGGACTTACTGAACACAAAGAAATCAAAGAAGTGTGCAGTACCCTAACCTAAACCCCATAAAGAGGAAGGTACCTAACACTGTGATGGCAATAGCCCCCACTGACCTGTCTTACCTGACCACCCAGTGTAGGCATCAAGGGACTTCCTAGTCCCTGAGCTCAGCTCAGCTCAGTTCCCACTGCTGACACAACCTACTTGAATTACCACCCATCTGTTCATGTCAGACCTGGTGTTATACCTCGTCTCAGTTTAACTTAAGCCTGAGGCCTATTTCACTCTGCTACCCTGAAGTCTGGCTCTGTACCTCCAGCAGCTTCCCAACTGGTTTAGTTAGTATCTAATCAGTGCGGTGGCCTTCACATCTGTATCAGCTCTTTGCCTCTGCCTGCAGAAGAACTTCTTTGAACCCTTTGAATCTTGCTATGACGTCTTCAACCCTTTTGTGGCCATAACATACCTACATACATGCAGATAGAATTGTGAGATGTACAATGTGTGATTTGAGAGTTAATATTAGTAATTAAGACTGGAATAACAGGGCAATTCTCCTTTGAGAAACCTATATCTACATTCTCCAGTATGTATGTCTTACTTTCTTCCCAATTGCTCTTCTTTCTCTTAACATTAATGCTTAAATCTACATTAAAATGTCTTAACAAACTTCAATTCCGCTTCATTACAAAAAAAAAAAAAAAAAAAAAGCTGGCTGTGGTGGCACATGCCTTTAATCCCAGCCGAAGCAGGCAGATATCTGTGAAATTGACACCAGCCTAGTCTACATAGCAAGTTTCAGGCCAGCTGTGGCAATAGGGAGACCCTGCCTCAAAAAACAAACAAAAGATTGGGCTAGGCGTGGTGGCGCACACCTTTAATCCCAGCACTCGGGAGGCAGAGGCAGGCGGATCTCTGTGAGTTCGAGGCCAGTCTGGTCTACATAGCGAATCCAGGCCAGCTAGGGCTACAGGGAGACCCTGTCTCAAAAAGACCAAAAACAAGATTGGAGATCTCCTGCATAACACTGCCTTTCCCACACTCTCAGGCCTAGCTTGGTCTGTGCAGCCTATGCACCAGCCCAGCCTGCTGAGCGTAGCTCTTACCCCCTCATCAAAGAAGTTTCATTTTAGAGCAGACAGGCTACTGCCAGAGATTCATAACTGCTCAAAATTCAGAGAACAAGGTGCCCAGCCAATTAATATATCTACAACACAGCCCCTACACCTAGGGTTCAGGGAACATTGTGGAAGAGAAGGGTTCAGAAAGGTTTTAAGAGCCAGAAGACTAGGACACCTGCTGCGAGATAGTTTATTCTAGACATGACAGGAAAGCTGCACCCATGAAATCTCAACAAAAAGTTTGCATATATGTATACATGCAACAACAATAATTACAGAAGAGGTCTTGACTTTAAGAGGGAGTGGGGGTAACACAGGAGTTGGAGGGGATAAGGGAGGGGTGGAAATGATGTAAATACAGTGCTCATGCATGAAGTTCTCGAAAAAATTAAATTAGGGCTGGAGGGATAGCGTGGCCATTAAAGGCTAAGGCTAACAACCAAAAAAATAAATTTTAAAAAATTATAAATTAAAAATTAGAATTAGAGAACTTGAGACTGGAGAGATGGATAAATGGTTAAGAGCACTGGCTGTTCTTCCAGAGGACCCAGGTTCAGTTCCTAGTACTCACATGATGGTTAATACTTGTCTATAACTGCAGTTCCAGGAGATTGACACTCTCTTCTGACCTCTGCTGGCATTGCACACATGTGGTACATTAGCATATATGCATGTAAAACACTTATACACATAAAAATTTTTTAAAAAGACATTTGCCATCAACCAGCTATCAAGGAAACTGGGGCTATTTGGCAAATTGCAACCAATGTGGCTTATGATTTATTGTTATTCTATGAACTATGACATTGTGGAAAGACACAAATGAGTCTTACATTTCTGGCGTAGCACCTCACAACACTAGTACACAATCAACTATGTTGTCATCCTTTGGGTATTATCTACACAGCCATATCTTTGTTGGCTGAAATTTGTCTTCTATTATGTTTTTCAGGCTCTCCTGAGAAACATACATCTTAGCACTTGTATATTCATAATGTCTATTGCT